TTCTGTTACTTAAGCCACCCAGTCTATGCTCTTTTGTATGTTAGCAGCCCAAGCTAACATACTCAGACACTCTTTAATACTTCCCATTGCCTTTAGAATAAAGACCAAAATCTTAAACATGCCTTATAAGGGCTCTGAATGCTCTGGTCCCTCCCTACTTCTCTAGCCTCATCTTACATTGTTCTTCTCCTCCCTCAGACTTTCAGCTTCATAGACCTTCTTCTTTTTTGTTGTTAATCCTCATCTGAGGATATTTTCCCATTCATTCTTAGGTAGAGTGGGAGGGAGAGAGAGAGAGAGAAACATTGATGTGAGAGACACATCGACTGGCTGCCTCCCACATGACCCTGACCAGGACTGGGGATTGAACCTGCAACCCAGGTACATGCCCTTGACTGGGAAATGAACCCCAAACCCTTTGGTCCAAGGGCCAATGCTCCAACCACTGTGCCAAACCAGCCAGGGCCATAGACCTTCTTTTAGTTTAGAGTTTCCATCAAGCTCCCCTCACCAAAAAGCCTTTAGATACATGCTATTCCATCTAGCTGGAAAAACACACAGGCCTACTAATTCATCCTCGCCACCTTCACCTAAGCAGTTCTCACCTTCAAGTCTCAGATGAAACATTACTCAGTAAAGATTTTTATTATGTCCTGGCCAGTTTGGCTCAGCGGTTGAGCGTCGGCCTGTGGACCAGAGAGTCCCCGGGTTTGGTTCCCGCTAGGGATACATACCAGAAAAAAAAGATTTTTATTATTACAGTGACCATGTCCTGACTTGCTTAGGACAGTCTGTTTACCCCCGTTTGTCTCAGCTGAATTATTAACAGCTCTCTCTTTCACTCTCAAAAGCATCCCAGTTTAGATGATAAATTACATGGCCACCCTATCCACAAGGAAGTCCTATCATCACATGGGTCACGTGTGACCCAAGGACACATGGGTCAGTTGCCCTGTTACATGTTCTCATAGCTCTTTGCACCTTGCTTTCATTGCACTGAAGTTTACATTTACACATTTATTTGTGAAGATTAATCTTTGCCCCTCATTAAACTAGATAAACTTTGGTCACTGGGACTGTCACTTTTTTTATTCATTCATGATTGTGTCTTCAACATCTCTCACACAAAATATATGGTATGTGTCTGGCACATAGTAAACACTCATATTTGCTGAATGTATGAATTTCTGTGTCTAGCAAGTTAACTTACTGAAATACTGTGCTCCTCCCACCCTTCAATCCACTTCCAAGGTGGAAGCCTGGTGTTTGTTCTCAATCCTGAGCTCCATAAGAGGATTATGTTGGGAGAGCAGGGGAGAGAGGGAAGACGGGAAAGTGCCAGGGCCTCTGAGCACCCAGACTTAGGAAGGACAGGTCTGCAGCTTACATAAGCAGTGGAGACCTTGTGGGAACTCCAGTGCCCTGTAGAACCTGAGGGGAAAGTTGGAGTTTCCATGGTGAATATCGTCTACAAGCCAAGTTGCCTGCCATGGGCTGTCAGGCAACAGGTGACCTCTCATGGATAACCAGGACTAGAAGGGCCTCTTCTCCACTCTGAACAAGGGTCTTCAAATGAGGGCCTATGTCTTATTCATCTCGTGGCTTATAGCCAAAAGATCACAGCAAGTTCTCTCGAGTTTGTTGAATGTAACTGCAATTACAATGTCAGGCTTCAACTAAAGTCCAGTTCAGCTCTTTGTAGTGGGCAAAAGCGCCACCTACTGGCCTCTTAAGTAACTGCAAACAGCTTAAGCAGGCTCTGCAGGGAGTAGAGAACTGTCAGTGATCAGTAGGAACTTTGCTTTCCTGGCAGCTGTATTAGTATCAGGGACACTGCACTGGACTATCAATTCCCTAAAATACTCAGGGGGACAAAATAAAGTACTAACCCCTGACTTGGCTATTGGCATTGAACCCTCACTCAAGACTTTGTATTATCTTTTTTTTTTTTTTTTTAACCCTCACCTGAGGACATTTTTTTCCATTTTTTGTTCAGATAGAGTGGGAGGGAGAGAGAGGAAGAGAGAGAGAAACGTCGACGTGAAAGGGATACATCGAGTGGCTGCCACCCACACAAACAACCAGGGCTGGGGACAAACTGCAACCGAGGTATGCACCCTTAGTGGGAACCGAACCTGGGTCTCTCTGGACCGCAGGCCGACGCTCTAACCATTGAGCAAACCGGCCAGGGCCGACTTGGCATTATCTTGCCCCTACCTTCCACACACCCTCTTAATCCATCCTAAAAGGCCTCTCCCACTGGAAACATATCATCTTCCTTGCATGGTAATGTTTTGTTACTCAGAATCTTGAGCCAGTCAGTCAACTCTTTTCTTGCTTGTCCCCTTTGGGGTACTACTCTGGCCCTTGGTGACAGGACTCAGCACACTGCACAGAACTGTTCCCATGTCTACCTGCCCCCATTACAGAGTTCTCTCAAAGTTTTATGGATGGTATATAAGTAAACAATGTTGAATAGATAGATTTTCAGACAGAGAAGGACCTGGGTTCTTGTCTCAATGTGCCACTAAATTGCAGTTTTATCAGCCCTAAGTAAATCACTTGATACTTAGCTATTTCTTCCATAGTTCTTAACTAGGGGCAATTTGCCTCCAGGGGATATTGGCAATAGCACTTTGGGTTGTCCCAACTGGGGAATGCTACTGGTATCTAATAAGAGGCCAGGGATGCTGCTACATATTAAAACACACAGGACGGCCCTCCACAATTATCTGGCCCCAAATGGCAATCAATGATGCTGAGATTGAGAAACCCTGATTTAGCTAATACCCACCTAGCAGGGTTCGGTTGCAGTGAGGCTATAACCTACAAGGCACAAACCTACTAAAGGGTGTAGGTCCGTATCCTGCCTTGTGTCATTTTATGGTACACTGCAGAGGGGGAACATGAACCATGTGTGTGATTCACAGAATTTATGGATTTTAGCAATAGTGCCAGATCCCATCAGCAATAGGTGGGAATTCCAGATCCCTCACACAATTAGTTTCTAAAAACAGGCTCAATTCTGCATGTCAATCCTTGGCATCATGAATAAAAATGCTAAACAAAAAATTATTGCCAATGACTCTAACTCCAATTTGGGCCTTTGTTGAAATGGCATGTTGTACATCACAAGGACACCAATGAAAGTCATTTCCAAAATCCTTTTAATGTGCAAGTGCAGTTATGGAGTGCTTACAATGTGCCAGGGACTGTGTTCAGCACTCTAGATAAATTCTCAGTCCTTACAACCCTGTATAGTCAGATTTTACAGATGAGAAAATATTCTCATTTTATTATTTATTTTTAACAGTTGAGATTTTATTCTAACAGCTATAATTATAGTGCTTGTTTGTCAAAATTCCTCATTTTAAATATGAGACCTGGGTTCAGTTCCCGCTAAGGTGCGTACCTTGGTTGCAGTTTGTCCCTGGCCCTGGTTGGTCGTGTGGGTGGCAGCCACTCGATGTGTCCCTTTCATGTCGATGTTTCTCTCTCTCCCTCCCACTCTATCTGAACAAAAAATGGAAAAAAATGTCCTCGGGTGAGGATTAAATAAATAAATAAATAAATAAAAATAAATATGAGACTCAGAGATGTTAAGTAATTTCCTAGTAAGTGCTGTTAGTTTGCTAAACTGCCTCATTTGTGTAATACATTAGCTGCATATATGTAGCAGGTTCAGATTCGCAAGGCCTAAGGGGGAAAGGAGGTCTGGTAAGGTAAAAAAAAAGCAAACAAGACTGGGGAAAGTTATTTATAAAATGCAGAAGAAAAAACAATAAGCCATAGTTTTAAACAATAAGCAGTAAATTTACAAATTATTCATTTAAGGAGAAAAGTTAATGGATGTATATTATATTCCATTTTAAGATGAAAAATACCTTAAAAACCCCCAAATATCTGCAATCTACAATGTGGGCAAAATACTAAAATAACCTAACCATGTGCCAGTAAGGTACTAGTTTAAATATTTTTATACTATTTCCATACAATGGAGTACCATGCAGCCATTAAAAATGAGTTGTGTTATGAAATGAGCTGCAAAGTTATGAAACCACATATAGCAAGCTACCCCATTTGTGTGAGGGAAAAGGTGAGATGATGTAGAGTACATACAGAGAAACTCTATACAAGATATAAGAATCAAGTCCCAGGAAACGGAGCTAAGAGGAGATGGAAGTTTAATTTTAACTTTATACAGATTTCACAAGAACATTTGAAAATGGAACCATAAGGAACAAAAAAAAATATCAATTCGTTTCTTTTCAAATACCCTTAGATTAGTGGATTTCAACACTGGTTGCTTGTTAGAATCACCTGGGAGCCAACACTCAGGCCTCACCAGAGAACACCAGTGTCTGACTCAACCAGTGTGGGAATGGGCCCCTGGATATCAGTGGTTTTAGAAGTGCCCCAGATGATTCTGATTTTCAGCCAGCATCATGAAGTCACTGATCTATACCAAGGGTTAGCAAACTTTTTCTGTAAAGGGGCAGATAATAAATGCTGCAGGCTTTGTAGGTCCCACGAAGTCTGTCATATTCTTTTTTTCAAGCCCTTAAAAAATGCAAAGACCGCCCTTGCCAGTTTGGCTCAACAGTTACAGTGTTGGCCCGCGGACCAAAGAGTTGCGGGTTCGATTCCGGTCAAGGGCATGTACCTTGGTTGCGGTTCCTCCCTGGTCCTGGTCAGGGTTGTGTGGGAGGCAACCAGTCGATGTGTCTCTCTCACATTGATGTTTCCCTCTCTTCCTCCCCCTCTCCCTCCCGCTCTATCTGAAGGTAAACAGAAAAATGTCCTCAAGTGAGGATTAAAAAACAAATAAATAAAAATGTAAAGACTGCCCAGCCAGTGTGGCTCAGTGGACCATGGACTGAGAGGTCCTGGTTCAATTCCCAGTCACAGCACATGCTCGATCAAGGGTTGTAGGCTCAATCCCTTGTAAGGAACGTGTAAGAGGCAGCTGACTGATGTTTCTGTCTCTCTCTCCCTTCATCTCTAACAAAAAAAAATCAATAAAAACATATTTTAAAAAAATAAAAAATAAAAATGTAAAGGCCATTCTTAGCTCCTAAGCATACAAAAACAAGCCATGGGCTGGATCTGGCCCATAGGCCATTTTACTAACCTCAATTTAGACTACACACTGACTGGACTATTGCCTGGAAAAGGCACCAGGAGACAAGATAAGGCCAAGAAGAGTCAGCAAGCTGCTGCCAAGAAGATGCAGCAGTGAACCCTCAGGTGTGGACCTCAATCCTCTAACTGGCAACCAAGTTCTGGTTTGAACAGGAGGTAGGAGGACTTAGGACTCACAACAAAACTACCAAGACATATTAGAAACCAACCAATTTATTTTGTAGTAAGCTGTATAACTTTTACCATGCAGACTGAAACACCTATGTCAGAATGAACAGTGCATTTCCTTCCTAGAGGCAGTTACATGGAAAACCAGGTTGTTATCAGGTTATTTGGTGAGTGTGGAATCCAAACAAGGAGAGGTTAATTTTAATACCTACACCTTATCCATGAAACTGGAACATACCTTCCCACACAGGGACAGCCCAGCCTCTAAGTTTGTTGACTCTTCCTTTCTCATTGTGCTCTGGCTGAGCACTGCCATGTCCTATAGCTTTATGATCAGCCAGCTTAGCCTGGGAGTCAGAGCTCTGCTCACTGGTTATTGATACCAATAGTTAAAGTTCTGAAGGGGTCACATCAATTGCTCCCATGTACCAACTACAAGACACAACAATCCTGTTAGGATGCTTTCCCAAACCCACTCTATTCAAGTTTTACCAGATATGCTTTGTAAGGGTTCTTCCCATCTCCGTTAGCACATACATAGGTGACCTATAAATTTACCTGACTAATGTAACCTAATTCCTACTGAGGATTGAGGTTATTATAGTTTTTCTTCTTTTACTTTCTTGATCAGTGATTCCCAACCATGTAGATAAAGTTATAATTGTGTCAACACTGCTACCAAGACAGACATACCAAGTGATATGTACTTTCCAGATTACATTAATGTTATTTTGTTCTCTAAAATGTAAAACAATCAGATGATGCAGTTCTCAATTTAGTACTCAAGACTGTTAAGGTCATTAAAACGAGTCTTTGAACAATAGAAAACTTTATGCTTTCAAATTTAAAAACATGTATTGCAAATATCATTATGTAATAATGATAAAATTACAGAAAATAAATATTCAGACTGACTCCACAGCATTCACACCACACCATAATTTTGCCTGTAACCAAACAGTGAAGTTTATCTCCCAAAGTAGCTACATCCATGCTGGCTGAAAACTTCAGTCCTAGACCACATGAATGAGGAAGAACTACACAGTTAGTGCATGCTTAACAGACATATACATTAACCATTCTCAACTGCCCCTCACAAGGATTGAGGGGTAGGAGGGATGAAATGTGGACATGTGCACTCACCTAGGCAGAATTCTCCAATTATAAAAATTCACACATGTGACCTTTGCTATGTCTTGGGCAATAACTTTTATATGTGGGAACACATCTCTGAAAATCACAACAAAAATTAATAGGAAATGATTCAATAGAAAATATACAAATTTCTCAGTATGAGGACTTCCACAGAACAGGGAGAAGGGGATGACAACTAAAACTAATTTTTTTCTTTAAAAAGAACACTCCCCTTACCTTGTCCTTGCTACTCAACACTTGAAAACAAATCTGTACAAAACTACGAACACAGAAAGGGACCAGAGAGGATGTTCCGATACAGTCTTCAGACCTATTCTAGACTGCTGTCCACACCTCGCCTAATAGAGCTGAGAGCTCCCAGGTCCACTGGGGAAAGTAAGTAGTTTCAGATCATCACCCTTGCTTTACTAGGATAGCCCCAGGTTACTCGCTGTCAAACTTAATTGAATTAACCTGGACAGAGATGGAGCCTCCCCTGTAACTGCCCCGTTTCTTCTTGGTCTTCTCATGTCGGAAGGATTTGCCTTTGGTGAACTTCAGGACCTGATTGGCTCGTTCCCCCCAGTCTCCGGCTGCACCTCGCTGGTGAGTAGAGAGAATTGGTTAACACACAGGACACCAGAGCCCTGTCACATTCTTTTCACTGCTCAAGGCAACCTCAACCCAGAGAGCTTCCCACCAATCTGAAGCAAAAACTGTCCCCTCTTCCACCCAACCCCACTCAAGAATGGTGAACTCCCTCCCTCTTCACCTTGGCATCAAAGGAATTGTCTGCCACTCGAGCATCCACCTCAATTTCCTCCTCCCTGATCCTTCGGAATGGGGATGATGCCCTTTTTTCTGCCTGAAGAAGAATGCAGTATCAAATTAAAGACAGGAAGGTCAGATAACAGAAGAGCCCTCCTAAGCTACATGTGCCTGGCCAGGCAGAGGTGTCAAGATGATTTCAGATTCTTCTTTCTACTCTTTAATTTTTTTTTTTTTAAATCCTCATCTGAGGACAATTTTCTGTTATCTTCTGATAAAGTGGGAGGGAGAGAAAGAAAATGTGAGAGGGACACATCAACTGGTTGCCTCCTACACAATGCCAACCAAGGCCAGGGATGAACCACAGCCAAGGTAAATGCCCTTGGCCGAAACTGAACCCGCGACTCACTAATCCGCAGGCTGACGCTCTACCGCTGAGCCAAACCGGCCAGGGCTTCTTTCTACTCTTCATTCTCACTTTGGAAATCTAATACCCCATCTCCCTGCTTTCTCCTTTGTTCAAATATGTCTTATATATCCAATGTTGCCTCATAGTCTTCAAAATTTTCATGCACATGTGAATTGCCCATGCACCTGTATTAAAATTTTATTTCACCAGCGGTGTTGCTCAATGGATTTAGCGTCATCCCATGGACCGAGTGAGAGCTCCTGGTTCCATTTGCGGTCAGGGCACATGCCCTGGCTGTGGGCTCAATCCCCAGGAGGGGGTGGGGAAAAGGCAACCAATCAATGTCTCCCTCTCCCCCCTCCCCAAAATTCAATCAAGACATTTAAAAATATTTTTTATGTCTTCTTGTTTAAATAAATAAATGAACAACTAAATAAATAAAGGCTAGCTCCTGAGAGGAAAGTAAGACAACTTACTTTCTTCCTTTTTGGAAATGTGTTGGGGGTCTGAGGCTTTATCTTCTTGGCTGGACTCGGAGTCTCCGCCTCTGTGGCAGACTCATTCTGCTTTCGCTTCTTTCCTGAACCTACAAAACAAAAAACCAGACTCAGGGGACCAATTTTCTGTTCCTCTGCTCAAGTTGCCACACTGAGGACCTGCAATTAGAACCTAGTCATTTTGCTCTTCTCTCTACCCCATCCCCCAAGAGTATATATCCCCCATCCTAATTTGGGGAGGGAAACCCAGGGGGCAGCTTCTTTGGATACGGACCTGGCTTAGAAACTGCCACTGCTGCCTTAGTCTTTTCTTCCTCTTCCTCATTGCTGTCACTATCTGCTTTTCCATTCTGGGCAGTCAGTGCAGAGGTGCCATTGGTTTTAAGGACTGGTGGTCTAGGAGTACCCTTGCCCTTGGGCTTCTCCTCCTCCTCCTCACTGGAATCATCAGAAGAACTGCTGCTGCTCTCAGACTTGACTGTCTTTGTGGAGGCTGGCTTGGAAGGGGCTACAGCTCCTGCTGTCTTATGTGGCTTCTTTTTAACTAAGGGTTTAGATGTCTTCTCTTCCTCCTCTTCCTCATTGCTGGAGCTGTCTGAATCAGAGCTGCTATCCCCAGCACTCTGAGAGGCCTGTTTGGCAGGAAAAGATAGAGCTGCTTTGGCCATCACCTTGGACTTTGGGGTGGCCACAGTCTTCTTTGCCTTCTCCATATCCTCCTCCTCCTCCTCACTAGAACTGCTCTCCTCCTCACTGGAGCTGCTATCAGCCTTTCTGGCCAGAGGCTTCTGGCCACTGCCTATAGGCTGTTTGAGAGTTGTGGCTGGTTTAGCTGTAGGCTGCTTGGGAGTGGCAGCTGGCCTACTTGAAGGATTCTTGGTGGCACTGGCGGGCTTGGCAGAAGCTTCATCTTCGGAACTGTCAGAGTCTAGACAATAAGAGGATAGAATGAACAGCTCCTCAAATTAGACTGAGGAGAGCCCCTGGGACTCCCACTGCCTGGAGGGCCTCCATATGCCTTACCTGAGCTGTCTGAAGAGCTCTCTGCTGCCTTCTTTGCTGGAGCTGGTTTAGAGGCAGCTTTAGAGATGACTGGCTTAGCTGGCAGTTTCTTTTCTTCTTCAGAGCTTGAATCTGGAGAGAACCTAAGGCATTAGGCTGGGCCCAGAGTCCTAACCCAAACAGGAGCAATAAAAAGGATGCATAGACCACAAAGCTTTAGTAAAAAGAGGGACAGAGCATTTTCATCTTCCTAGTCCTCAAACACTTCCCAGAACCCACTCACCAATACTGATGACTCACCAGACTCATCACTACTGTCGTCACTGCTCTCCTCAGGCGGTTTCTTCTCTGCAGCTTTCTTGGGAGCCTGGGTTCCCAGGGACTTCTTGGGTGGGGGAGCAGAAGGTGGGGGGACTGAACTATAGGGACCTGTTTAAAGGAGAGTGCAGTGGTTTCAAAATATTTACATAAATCCTTTGATACTTCTCTCTAGAAATGGAGCTTAACCCCTTCCCTTGAGTGTGGGTTAGAATTAGTGACTCATTTGCTACAAACAGAAATATAGCGGGGATGCTGACATGTCATTTTTTAATCTAAGTTATGACAGATAATGTGCCCTCCTCCTTTCTCTGGGAGAAACTAGCTGTCGTGTCAAGCAGTTCTATGGAGGGTTCATGTGGTGACTACAGAGGTCCTCCTGCACGTGGGCCCTGGTAATAGTCATGTAGCTTGACTCCCCATGTCTAGTCACCTGGTTTTGTCTTCACGGGCCTTTTCTGCTCCTCCTCATCCTCCTCACTGGAGGAGTCCTCACTGCTGGAACTCTTTTGGGTAGGGGTAGCAGCTGCTTTTACTGGAGCCTTGGAAACTGCCTGCTTCTTAGGTACAGTCTGCATCATACAGTAAAATCAGTTACTTCAAGAAAATGTTATCTAACCAATCCTGCTAGAAAATGGAGACTGTCCCCTTCACCCCCAGATCCCTCCCTCTCTTCCCTGGTAGAAGTTTCAGCCCAGACCTTCTTAGAGATGGTTGCTGCCTTCTCCTCCTCTGAGTCATCACTGCTGCTGCTGCTGCTGCTGCTGCTACTACTGCTGCTACTGCTAGCTGCTTTGCCATTGGCTACTTTAGGTGCTACTCGAGCAGGTGCACCTAAGAAAAAAAAGAAAGTGTAAGAAGTATCAGTAAGTTAAAGGACCATAAAAACCTCCTTCCGGTCCGGTTAGCTCAGAACTTAGGAGTCTATGAATTCTCTTGCCTTTAGAGCAGGCATGAAAGACACTGCTGTTGTTTATTGTATCAAAGGATATCCGCCCTGGCTGGATTGGCTCAGCGGTTGGAGCGTCGGCCTGTGGACCAGAGTCCCGGGTTCGGTTTCCACTAGGGTCACATACCAAAAAAAAAAAGCATATCCTTTGCGCCCAATTTCAGAAATAAAACTATTCTATCTTTAAAAAGTGGTATGAGCACCCTGGCCAGTTTGGCTCAGCGGTTAGAGCATCGGCCTGTGGATCAAAAAGTCGTGGGTTCAATTTCGGTCAAGGGCACATACCTTGGTTGTGGTTCGTCCCTGGCCCTGGTCGGGATCATTCAGGAGGCAACCAGTTGATATGTCTCTCTCATGTTGATGTTTCTCTCTATCTCCCCCCCTCTCTCTCCTCCTCTATCTTAAGATAAACAGAAAAATATCTTCAGGTGAGGACTTAATAAAAATTAAAAAATAATATGAGCCCTGGCCAGTTTTGCTCAGTGGTTAGAGCATCGGTCCTCGGACCAAAGATTCACAGGTTCAATTCTGGTCAAGGGCACATACCTTGGTTGCAGTTCCGCCCCCGGCCCTAGTCCGAGTCATGTGGAAGACAACCAGTTGATGTGTCTTCCTCACATCAATGTTTCTTTTTCTCCCTCCCTCCCACTCTGTCTGAAAGTAAGTGGAAAAATAGCCTCAAGTGAGGATTTGAAAAAAAGATAAAAATGGTATGATGTACTCTGTCTGGTTTGGCTCAGTGGTTAGAGTCAGTCTGTAGAAGGTTCCATTCCATCAAGGGCACAGACCTAGGCTGTTAAGTCTGATCCCCGGCCCCAGTCAGGGCATATGCGGGAGGTAACCCAATCAATGTGCCTCTCTCACATCGATATTTCTCTCTCTCACTTCACCTCCCTCCCTCCCTCCACTCTCTCTAAAATCCAATGGAAAAAATATTCTCCAGTGAGGATTAACATACAACAATTTTTTTTCCTTGCTGCAAACTGTTTCTCTAGTTATTAGTCCCTATAAAATATTTTACTCATTAAAAGCCTCTTTATAAAAATATAACACTCAGTCCAGCTGGTGTGGCTCAATGGTTGAGCGCCGACCCATGCACCAAGAGGTTGCCTGTTCGATTCCGGTCAGGGCACATGCCTAGGTTGTGGGCCTGATCCCCAGTGGGGGGCATGCAAGAGGCAGCCAATTGATGTTCTCTCTCATCGATATTTCTCTCTCTCTCCCTTCCTCTCTCTCTTAAATCAATAAAGGAAAAATAAAATAAAATAAAACACTCAGCCCTGGCTGGTTAGAGCGTCATTCCAATATGCCAAGTTTGTGGGTTTGATCTCGGGTCAGAGCATACAGGAAGCAACCAATGAATGCATAAATAAGTGGAATAACAAATCAATGTGTCTTTCTCTTTCTACCCCGCCCCTTCCTCTCTCTAAAAATCAATAAAAATATAACACTAATCAATACCTCTAGTTCAACAACCAGTACCATTTCACCCCTGAGCTGAATAAGCAATTTATTTATTTATTTATTTTTTATCCTCACCCGAGGATATTTTTCCATTTTTTGTACAGATAGAGTGGGAGGGAGAGAGAGGAAGGGACAGAGAGAGAGAAACATCGACGTGAAGGGACACATCGAGTGGCTGCCACCCACACAACCAACCAGGGCGGGGGACAAACTGCAACCGAAGTACGCGCCCCTAGCGGGAACCGAACCCGGGTCTCTCCGGACCGCAGGCCGACGCTCTAACCGCTGAGCCAAACTGGCCAGGGCTGAATAAGCAATTTAAACACCCATTCCTGCCGTGGCCGGTTTGGCTCAGCGGTTAGAACATCGGCCTGTGGTCCAGAGAGACCTGGGTTCAGTTCCCGGTTGAAGTTTGTCCCGGGCCCTAGTTGGGTCGTGCGGGTGGCGGCCACTCGATGTATCCCTTTCACGTCGATGTTTCTCTCTCTCTCCCTCCTGCTCTATCTGAATAAAAAGTGGAGGAATGTCCTCGGGTGAGGATAAAAAATAATAATAAAATAAAATAATAAAGAAATACCCATTCCCAGAGCAAGCTGGTCCCTGGCCAGGACTTTTGGAAACAGAAACAGTACCTGGTTTGGTGGGGACTTTAGTCTGAGCTTTAGCTGTCACAGGTGTTGTCTTTGGCTTCTGGTTCTTTGGTGCCTCATCCTCTGAGCTTGAGTCCGAATCAGAATCAGAGCTCTCCACCTTCTTAGGAGGAGCTTTGACAGCCTTGCTTTGGGGCTTAACTCCCTTCTGTGAGAAAGCACACAATGAGGAGACTCAGCAAGAGCTTCTGGGTACCCAGAGGCATCCTAAGCAAAAAGCTTCCTAGGCTCCTTTTCTTTTTTAGGGGCTAACAGACCAGTAGGGGTGAGGGAAAGCTAATCAGGACAGCACATGAAAATGACAACAAACTCTTAATAAGAAACAAAAAGTTCAGACACATGATTCACTGTCCCTGTCCCTGCCATTCCCTGTCTGGAGCTCCCAACATCTGTATACAAAACACACTCTCCTACTCCTAGAGTCCTAGACAGTGTTCCATAGAAATCCAATACCTCTAGGGAAGCAGAATGGGTTGATTTCCTCTAGATTCAGCATCTAACTTCAACCTCACACTTCTACCACATCTCTGAAAGTCCCAGATTTTCTGCCCCATAATCACCTGCCCACCACCACCTCTTGGTCATAGCTAGAAGCCAAGATTTTAGGTTTCATCTTTCCAATCCTTAAACAACCCTTTTCCTTCCCAAGTTGCAAACCTGGACAAGTTTTTTCTTTTTGTCTTCCTCCTCATCATCACTGGATTCTTCACTGCTGCTGCTCTCTGATGCTTTGGCTGCAGCCTTTCCAGGTTGCTGAAGCAGACAGGCACGCTTGGGAGGTACAGCTGAAGAATAGCACAGGTCCCACTAAGAATCAGCTATGCAGTATAGACAGACTACAAATCCTTTTCCTGGAACTGTTAACCCCAACTCCTTGCCCCACCTTACCAGCTTTCCTAGCTGGAGGACCTTGGGCTTTTTCCTCCTCACTGCTGTCTTCACTGCTGTCACTGGATGAAGTCTTCTTCTTAGTCTTCTTAGGCACTGGCCCGTTTGCTTGTAACTTCCGTTTTGGAGCCTTGGTGGACCTGCTGAGGTAGATAAGGCTGACTTCTGGGTTACCAAAACCTCCCCAAACCAAGACACACAGCCCAGTCAACTTGAGGGGAGACAATAGCCACAGTGGTATATGGAAGACTTACTTGAGCCAAAAACTATAGATGTCCAAAAGAGAAGAGGCATTGGCATCCTGCTGGGTCTATAGGAGAAAAGATAAAAAGTCGGTAAGAAAATTTTATTCTGGTTACTTTAGGGGAGATCAAATTTTGTGTTACTGTCTCATTAAAAGTGATCTGTTTTGCCTGGCTGGTGTGGCTCAGTGGCTCATTGGAATGAGCACCATTCCATGGACTGAGGGGTCTTGGTTCAATTCCCAGTCAGGGCACATGCCCATGCTGTGGACTTGATCCCTAGTAGGGGGCATGCAGGAGGTGACTGATCCATGTTTCTCTCTCACATCAATGTCTCTATCTCTCTCTCCCTTCCTCTCTATAAAAAAATCAATAAAGCCCTGGCTGGTTGGGTCAGTGGTTAGAGTGTAGGGCCGCGGACCAGAGAGTCCCAGGTTCGGTTCCTGCCAAGGGTACGTACCTTGGTTGCAGTTTGTCCCTGGCCCCGGTTGGGGTTGTGTGGGTGGCGGCTGCTCGATGTGTCTCTCTCACATCGATGCCCCCCCCACCCTCCCCCGGCCCCGCTATATCTGAAGATAAATGCAGAAGTGTCCTTGGGTGAAGTTAAAAAAATAGAATAAAAAGTGACTTGTTTTATACCTATTATAGCCCTGACCGGTTTGGCTCAAGTGGTTAGAGCATCGGCCCATGGACCAATGAGTCGCAGGTTTGATTCCAGCGAAGGGCATATACCTCAGTTGCAGTTCGTCCCTGGCCTTGGTTGGGTCGTGCGGGAGGCAACCAGTCAATGTGGCTCTATCACATTGATGTTTCTCTCTGTCTCTCTCTCTCTCCCTCCCTCCCACTCTATCTGATGATGAATAGAAAAGTATCCTCAGGTGAGGAATAAAAAAATATATATATAGAGAGAGCTCTTCCTCCCAGGAGGGAGCACACCAGGGCCTTTATCCTCCCCTCCCCAGCCCTCCCCTGCTCTCTCCTCCCCTCCCCCTAAAAACATACACACACACCTACTATCCTTCATATAAATGTTACAGCTTCATATGACTTCTCCTACTTGCACAGATTAGAAAATAAAACATTTTACTTACGTATTACCCAATATCTGGCATAAGAAACGGGTTATTCCTCACCCTGACCGATTTTGCTCAGTGGTTAGTGTCAGTCCACCGACTAAAGGGTCTCGGGTTCAATTCTGGTTAAGGGCACCAAACCTGCATTGCAGGTTCAATCCCCACCCCTAGTCAAGGCGAATGCAGGAGGCACCAATCAATATTTCTCTCTCTTCCTCCACTGTCTCCCTCTCTTCCACTTTCTTTTCTTTTTTTTTTTATCCTCACCCGAGGACATTTTTCCATTTTTTGTTCAGGTACAGTGGGAAGGAGAGAGAGGAACAGAGAGAGAGAGAGAAACATCGATGTGAAAGGAACACATCGAGTGGCTGCCACCCGCACGACCGACCAGGGCCAGGGACAAACTGCAACCGAGGTACGCGCCCTTAGCGGGAACCGAACCCGGGTCTCTCAGGACCGCAGGCCGACGCTCTAACCACTGAGCCAAACCGGCCAGGGCCCTCTCTTCCACTTTCTAAAAATCATCGGAAAAAACATTCTCGGTGGTGATAAACAAAACAACCTTGGGCTATCCCTATATTTTCTGACACTATCTATCCCCACATGTCAATCCTGTTTATCAAAGACTCTTTCATTATTTATTTGACTAATTAATTTTTTGTTAACCCTCACCCGAGAATATTTTCTCATTAAATCTTAGATTAAGTGGAAGGGAGGGAGGAGAAAAGAGAGAGAGAAACATCAATGTGAGAAAGAGACATTGATTGGTTGCCTCCAAGAAGACCCTGACCGGGGCTGGGAACTGAACCAGCAACCCTTTGGTCCCCGGGCCTATGCTCTAACCACAGAGTCAAACGGGCCAGGATGCAAGCCTTTAAAAAAAAAATTTGGGGGGGGGGGGGTATGTGCCCCTAGCAGGAACCAAACCTGGAACTCTCTGGTCCGCAGGCCAATGCTCCAACCGCTGAGCCAAACTGGCCAGGAAATTAAATGGTTTTTTTTGTTTTTTGTTTTTTTCTTTATTGATTTTTAGAGAGAGAGAAAGGGAGAGGGAGATAGAAACATTGGTGAGAGAGAACATCAACTGGCCACCTCCCACATGCTCCCCACTGGGGATCTGGTCCACAACCTGGGCATGTGCCCTGACTGGGCATCTAACTGGAGACCTCTTGGTTCATGAGTCGATGCTCAACCACTGAACCACACAAGCTGGGCTCAAAGCCTTTTTAAATGTGCATTCCTTTTACCTAGCAATGTATTATCTAGGAATTTATTCTTACCTATGAAACAAGGGCACAAACATTTATACTACAGAGCTTGCTGCAATGTGGTTTATAATACCAAATCATTGGAAGCCAGCCTCCAAAAGAAGATTGGTAAAAAGCTATGTCATGTATACAGCGCAAAATTGCATCCAGCTACTAATTACACTGATATATATTATTAATCGGTGCGATAAAAATGGCAAGACATTACAGTAAACACAAGAGCACAGGGTCAGAGTTAGATGAGTCAGACATAAAATTCACCTCTACAGTTATTACTGGGCGACCATGAGCAAGTTACATAATTTTTCTCATGGTTTTCTTCTCTGTAAGATGGAAATAATACTATACATCCTAAGTATTGAGAAGATAAGAGATAAGGCATATCAAGGGTTTAGCATCTGGCCCTTACTAAGCCCTTCACAAAGATTAGTTTTTGCCACATTAAAAAAAAAACACCCTGATTCTGGCCAGTTTGGCTCAGTGGTTAGAGCGTCGGCCTGCAGTCCAGAGAGAACTGGGTTCAGTTCCCTCTAAGGGCACGAATCTCAGTTGCAGTTTGTCCCAGGCCCTGGTCGGGTCCTGCGGGTGGTAGCTACTTGATGTGTCCCTTTCACGTTGATGTTTGTCAATGTTTCTCTCTCTCTCTCTCCTTCCCACTCTATCTGAATAAAAATGGGAAAATGTCCTCGGGTGAGGATTTAAAAAAAAAAAGTGACCCTACTTAAAAAAAACACAAACAACAACCCTGATTCTGCCCTGGCAGATTTGGCTCAGCGGTTAGAGCGTCGGTCTGCGGACCAGGAGAGTCCTGGGTTCACTTCCTGCTAAGGGTACATATCTCAGTTGCGGTTAGTCCCTAGCCTCAACTGGGGTTGTGCAGGTGGCAACCAGTCGATGTGTCTCTCTCACGTCTATGTTTCTCTCTCTCTCTCTCTCTCTCTCTCTCTCCCTCCTTCTCTCCCTCCCGTTCTATCTGAAGATAAATGCAAAAATGTCCTTGGGTGAGGATTAAAAAATAAACAAAAAACCTGATTCTGAAAAGCCCAATTTCATCCAGCCCATTGTGGAAACACTCTTTGTAGATTCCTTACAGTCAATTCCAAACAGTTCCAATATAAAAAGTTATAGCTGATCATATAGCAGGCAGCCCCAGCTTGTCTTTCCTGAGTTTGATCTGAATCTCTTCTTGTGCAGCCTGATTCTGCCACTAAGAACAAATCTATCTTCTTAATCAAAGACCAAGATGCCAAAGACCCTCTACCCTCTCTCAAGGTGTTTGCTCATGCAATTATGTCTGCTTTTCTTGAGATGTAGATTCCAAACCTTTCACATTCCTAGTCATCTTCCTTTTACATGTCTGCCGAACATACTAAATTACCAAAACTATGATAACAGCTTTCACTCACTGTTGAGCACCAGGCACTGAGATCGCCACTTTCTCTCTGTCTTTGTGAATACTGAAACTATAAAGTGGAAGATGATATCCCCATAGAAAGAGAAACACTCAGTTTAATTAAGCTGCCCCGGTCACACATCTTTAAATGAAGGCAAAGCCTGGTCCCAAACCTGTATTTGATTCCACAAGTGAAAGATCAAGCTCACTGCTATGCCTTCATGTTAGGACTATGATGCTACCTCAGTGTAACTAAAAGCAGAACCCCTGCCTCTACTCTCGTTCATTTTCTTCTTTACTAAAGTCCATCCTTCTAAAGCAATTTTATCTTTGAGTCCCCAGCAACTTCGATTGAGAGTTAAGGTCGTCACGCTTTGCACCAGTCAACGTAAAGCCAAAAGAAGGAACCAAGAGCCTCCAATGTCTCCGGTGGGGCTGGGTGCTCTGTCTTCGCCGCACTCTGCCAGCCACGTGATCTGGGCCACGCGGGTCCCACGCCGGTCCCACGCTGCCGCCACTGCACCGCTCACCAGAATAAAAGCACCAAGACTCAGCACTATCTAGGCAGACCTCGTGGATTTCAGGCTTTCTCAGGTCACCGCCGAGAACTCGGCACAAAGGCCCCGCAGAAACTGGGCTGGCGGAAACCTAAGCACGTCTGGGCCTGGAACCCTGTGGTCAACCCACCCCGGCCCATGCCCGCAGCCCGGGACTCACAGCGCCTGTTGCCTTGGCGAACTTATTGGCCACCTCCGAGAGCTGGTTATCACGCAGAAAGCCGAGCACGAGGGGATACAGGTCGCTGGGAACCACGCGGCGTAAGCCGGCGTCCGCCATCGTCAGGACAATATGCGTCACTACCGCTGCCGTTGAACACGACTCAGGAACTCAGAAACCCGGAGAGGTGAGGGCGGGTCCGTGTGACGTCATCGCGCGGGCGCACAGCGGAAGGGGCGGGCACACTCCGCAGGGCAGTACCGCCTCCACCTCGGTTGAAGGGTCTCATCTAGGCGAAATCTGTAAACTCTTTCCGTTCCCACGAGCGTCGCCATCTTGGTAAGGGCGGAGCCCGCCGTCTGCCACTTTGCGGAGCTTGACGTCAGGGGCACGCCCTCGGCGGTGGCGGGAAAACTCCAGACTTCCCGCGCGCCCTACCTTTCTAGGGAGGCACCTTTACTCCCAGCAGCGGTTTCCAGTTCCCTACCTGGGATTTACATTTCAGAGAAATGAGTGGACCCGCGGGCCCGAGCTGTCTGGATTCTCTAGACTTGGTCACAAGATCTCCCGACCGCCCCTATCCGCTCTGCCACTGTGTTCCCACCCTTCATCTTCACTGCCTCCCACACCTACAGCGACCCTTTCTCAGATACCACCCCAGCCTCCTGGACTCCCACTTTCACTGCAGAAGATCTTTCAGATAATCTCTGGTAGAGGTAGGACAAACCGGCCAAACAGTTTACAACCTAGACGTCTAGCAAATGGCAAAACCCTATCTTCCCTAAACCAAAGACTCTTAACAGTAAATAGCTTACACTTCTCTCCAACCTGACGGTAAATAGCTTAAATCACCCCACTCAGTGAGATAACAGAAATCCAATTAGTGCCGTTTGTGCTAACCACAACCAAGGACATATGAAGTTAAAGGAATGAATCTAATTTTGGCACATATCAGCTTAACACTGATGGATATTCTATTGAGATCATCCCCTAACACCTCCCTTAAACTGTCAGCCTTTAAAAACTCTCAAAATGAAGGTCCTGCCCTGGCCAGTTTGGCTCAGCGGTTAGAGCGTCGGCCTGAGGTCCGGAGAGACCCGGGTTCGGTTCCCGCTAAGGGCACGTACTTCGGTTGCAGTTTGTCCCCGGCCCTGGTTGGTCGTGCGGGTGGCAGCCACTCGATGTGTCCCTTTCACATCGATGTCTCTCTCTCTCTCTCTCTCTCTCTCTCTCTTCCTCTCTCTCCCTTCCACTCTATCTGTACAAAAAACAGAAAAATATCCTCGGGTGAGGATAAAAAAATAAAAAAAAGAAGGTCCTAGCCTGCACTCTCCCTCCAGGGAACATGCCTGGGCCTTTCCCTTCCCTCTTTACCCCCCACAGGCATGCATCTCCTAACTCTAAGGGACCCCACAAGACTTGCAACAAGGAAGCAATGGGCAGTGGCAGCTCTTCCTGGGGCTAACCCCTGAAGCTCTCTGTCCCTAAGGCCCTGGTTTCTCTGACTTCTTAGTGAGCCAAAGTAACTCAGCCTAGGCTCACTTTCCCACCTGGTCTCTCTCCTGTTGCTTCTGTCTTAGGCCCTTCCTTCTTTCACTGTCCCAGCTTTAATAAACATCCTCTAAAAATCACCTGGACTTGTGTTCTGAAATATTCCCTGCACAAAGTAAAAAACCCACACACTATCAGCAGGCCCTAGGTACAGCTGCTCTGGGCCAGGCCCCCTTTCTAGTAACAAAACTGCGCCTTCCCCATGAAAACCTATCCTCCACTTATTTTAAAGGGTAGAATTAGCCTGGCCAATGTGGCTCAGTGGTTGATCCATGCAACAAGGTTGGATTCCCAGTCAGGGCACATACCCAGGTTGCAGACTGGACCCCCAGTAGGAGGAGTGCAGGAAGCAGCCAATGGATGTTCTCCCTCATTGATGTTTCTATCTCTCTCCCTTCCTCTCTCTAAAATCAATAAAGAAAAAAAGATATAATTAATATTTTATTGTCATTTATAATCAGATGGCAGTTGAGTATATAGTCTCTATGCTTGATCTTTTTTTTTAATTTTTTATTTTTTTGTTACAGATTTTTCTTTTTTACCCCATTGGCACCCCCCTCCCCACCCCACCCCCGCCCCAGCTTAGTTGTCCATGTCCATTGGTCATGCATTCATGCATATAAGTTCTGTGGTTTATCTCTTCCCATCCCCCCACCCCCTATGCTTGATCTTTTTTGTAAATAAAAAAATTACAAGAGCCGATAGCTGGTTGTTTTCAGAAAACATGATTAAACTAATTCATTGATGGTGGCTTCAAGGCTTCAAGTTTTTCCTTATTAGCTCCAGAAAATTCACTTTTATCCTTTTTTTTTTAACTGGAAGGTTGGCCCTGGCCAGTTTTGCTCAGCGGTTAGAGCATTGGCCTGTGGTCTGGAGAGACCCGGGTTCGGTTCCCGCTAAGGGGCATGTACCTCAGTTGCAGTTTGTCCCCGGCCCTGGTTGAGTCGTGTGGGTGGCAACCACTCAATGTGTCCCTTTCACGTCAATGTTTCTCTCTCTCTTTCTCCCCCTCCCACTCAATCTGAACAAAATATCAAAAAATGTCCTCGGGTGAGGATAAAATAAATAAATAAAACTGGAAGGTTGGCATGCATTTGACTTCACTCTGCAGCAACATTCGTAGTTATCCACACCTACTTCAAGGAATACCACACTGGAATACTTTTCAGAGAGGGAATGAAAGACAGGCTTGATCATTTTGCAAGGACCACACCACATGGCCAAGAAGTCAACTAACTACAAGTTTATCTCCTGCACTGTTCAAGGCTTCCTCAAAAGCATATTGTTCTTAATGTGTTTCACCATTTTGGCATCTGAGGTCTGAAGAACAACCACTAAGAACCAATGGAAGTTGCCTGGCTGGTGTGATTCAGTGCATTGAAAGGTCCCGGTCCAATTCCCAGTCAGGGGCATGCCCAGGTGGCAGGCTTGATCCCCACTGGGGGGTGTGCAGGAGGCGCCTATCAATGTTTTTCTCTTACATTGATTTCTCTCTCCCAAAAAATCAATAAAAACATATTTAAAAAAAACAAAAGAACCAATGGACGTGGATGCAAAGCAGGAGGCCAAACATGGAAAGCACACTGCCTGCCTTCCCTTTATAGTGTCTGGGGAGCCTGGGGAGCTGGGCCCCCCACTTACTTATTCAGTTTTAAGTCAGCTCCAAAGGTAAGGGGTTGTGCACCAAACCTGAGTGACACAGCAGCAATCTCTTCAAACTATAATCCTGACAGTTCATACAGTGAACTCTCCCTGTGAGACAACTAGAAAACCTCCCAATTGCCTCCCCCTTCACCATGAATATTCAAATACACAAGCCTGCCAATTCAATTTCAAATTCAATCATATTTCAGTTCACATTAGCCGCAGCCAAGAATCCCTTCAATCCTACACACTGCCCCTTGACTACTTCCCATTAATATCCCTCAGGAAGGGTAAGGATGCACTTTTTCAGGGGACACACTTCTTTGCCTTTCTCAAAATAGGTATTTCCCTCTCCTAGATTATAACTCCTACACCTCCCTCTTCCCCAGAAGTCTATCCACACGCATGAATTCTTTATATATCTGAGCAACCGCTGTGTGCCAAGCATTGTGCTCAGGCTAAATGGTATATATACATCTAAGTATCAGTTTTATTTTTTTAATCCTCACCCAAGGATATTTTTCTATCTTCAGATAGAGGGGGAAAGAGGGAGAGAGAGGATCCATGTGAGAGAGACACATCGACTGGCCTCCTCCTGCATGACCTGGACCAGGGCTGAGGACGAACCACAACTGAGGTATGTGCCCTTGACCAAAATCAAACCTGCGACTCTGGTCTGTGGGCTGAAACTCTAAACGCTCAGTCAAACCGGCCAGGGCTCTAAGTTTCAGTTCTAAAAAAAACTTTATTTGGAACAAGTGTGAGCTTCCCCTAGGTTCTTGGTATTAAAACCCCTTCCAAAACCAGTAACATCAGCATCCACTTATTTGAAATGTAGATTCTCAGGCTCCATTGCAGAAGTCAAAACCAGCTTTCTAAAAAGATCTCCAAATGATTCAAATTCCCTTTTATTTTATTTTTTCATTGATCGAGAGAGAGAGGAAGGGTGAAACATTGAGGTGGGAGAGAAACATCGCTCAGTTGCCTCCTGGACGCTCCCAAAACCCAGGCATGTGCCCCGACTGGGAACTGAACTGGTGACCCTCTGGTGCACAAGATGACTGAGCCACACGGTTCAAATGCCCTTTTAAAATTTGAGAAGCACTGCCCTAGATGAGTGATTTCACTGACAACACTTGAGGAGACAAGTTTTAAAACCAATAGGATTTTACACCTGACCAAAGAAGAGTCGTAGGAACTCAATGTACTGAGGTAGACATGACACTCATTGTGTTCAGAGAGGAAAAGTATGTCTGGCACTAAAACCATAGAAAGAAAGAAGCACAACAGCACATGGAAGTTCTCTCTAGTTTATGTTTATTATTACTCTGCATAGTGACTTAGGTCATCCAAACACTGGGGGAACCCCTCAACTTCATCCATCTCACATAGGAATGCAAATAACTTGTTTCAATGCCTGTTATAAAAACAAATACCCTTTTTAAAAATCTGATTTAACACATTTTTTATTTTACTTTTTCCATTTCTTTATAAAACAGTCATGTCTTCACTAGCAGCTTTCTCCCCTAGAGTGGGGGAGGGGGGTGGAGATGGTTGGACACCTCCAGAGAAAAGGATGAAGGGGAGAAGGGCCCAGGGTTACCTCCTGAGGTTCTTCTGGGCCTGTTTCAACAATGTGTCAAAGTCAAGAGAATCAAATTTGCTCTTTACAGGAGCAGGGTCAAAATCCTCTCGGTTGGAATCTACAAAGGTAGAGAGAGACAAACATCAAGTTTTCTGACCACACTTCCCAACCACCGAGTCCTCAAATGGCCAGCCACCTCCCATCCCAATAATGACTTTAAGTCATCCCTCCCCTTAGGTTCCTTTTCGAGTGTCAAATGAAGACAAGTCTGCTGAGCCCACTCTCAAAAGGCTGGGAACACTTCTGGGGAAATCAAGTACATCATGGCCTCCCTCCACTCACCAAGATCAGAATAGCTTCTCTTGCAGAACT